AGTGGTGCTCAGACGCATCGGAAATGCACAAAAGCGGCGGAAATGCCCAAGAATAAAAGCGGAGCTTAGAAAGAACATGAAGTTTGAAAGTCAAGTTTGTTTAAGCCTGAAGTAAAGGTATGTGTTGAAAGGTAGCCTGCTACAGGTGTAAATCATGCTTGTATGAGCAGTTCTAAAAACAGGTAAAACAGCCACCAATAGATGCCCTCCTTTCCTACAAAGTGACTGACTTTTGTGTTGTGATGACCTCAAATGCTTACAAATATCGTCCTTGTTTTCACGAAGTGACGGTAGTGAGGAAAATCGTAACGCAAAGTGAATGCAATTTTTTTTCACTACCGTCACTTCGTGAAAACAGCGACGATATGATTATAAAGTTTGACTTGTTTTTGTTTTCCTTCTATAAAGATGAAAAGTAACTTTTCGAGGCCTCCTCCTCCAAAATATTTCATTTTGTTTCTGAAAATATAACCCCAAGAATAAGGTTACCAGTAAGTAATTTAATGACCCTGCGTATCAAATAAGAAGTTAAAAGATCTAACTTTCTTATACAGATAGTTTGCAAAGAATGGAACCAAATATAGTTTTGAAATCTGTCCACTTAATTCCCAATTGACACTTTAATTTTTTCCTTATACATGTAAGTTCCCCACATGACCTTAAAGATTTGCCAATCTGGTATTGGTATACATGTAAGAAAGGATCCTACCAGATATATAAAAATGCTTCTATACCATCAAAATTGATTATTGAGTTCTATACCTCAACAGTTATTGTTTACGAAATAATAGTAAATATCTTTAAGGTGGACTATCTAGTAGTAGGCCAACATAAAGGCCTAAATGTGGAGACCTAGATCTGATACTCAAAGATTCCTTGTAAAGGTCATCTCTCTATGATTTCATAAATCCTTCTAAGCTTTTCATCGCTACAAATAAAATACCTCTGCCAATCACGCTCCCTGCATTCTCCTTCCATCCTTAAAAATGGATAAAAAAACCTCATAATTCTTCTGTCAAGACATAAAGTTATAAAACCTTTACATGTACCAACCACCGATCACCACCGCACCCCTCCAGATCAAATTACTCCAAATTCCTTGACACGGTTTTAACACAAAACAAGTTCAACTTCGAGACGTTCTCTTCGCTCTTGTCTGGTTTTCAGATAAAGACATCAAGGGCAACTTGCCGACAAACTTGGGGTTTCGGATGGACAGATGATGCGGCATGCAGGATTGGGCAGCCGTCATCTACATCTTTATGTTGTTCATCTTTATTTCATTCAGACTGATCATCAAATTGGTTTTGTTTGTCCTAATTGGATAATTTGAGTACGATATTGCTTTGTTCTCCGATCAGAGCTGAAAACAGAGTGATCCATCATCGCGCTCCCGGAGCACGTATACCCCCCTCGTTCACCTGCTTCATAATGAAACCGGTCCTTTGCACCCCCGGGAGAGATGAGGAAAGGAGATGCACTCCCAAGACTTGTGAAAAATCAAGATGAGATGTCTGGTCTCCTTTGTCTTTGATTTTTGTTCTTCTCCTGAGAAAGGGTTTTTCAAATTAAGCTGTATGAAATTGTTTGGATTATAGAAAGCAGACTGGAGCAAGGGGATGAGATAATGAGGTCAAACAGAAATTCAAACTGTCTACCAATTAATTCTACAAAGGTTTTTTGCATGAATCATGCATGTGATGTATTTTTTTTCTTTCTTCAGTCTGGTGGTGGTTGTTGTTGGGTTTTTTGTTGTTGGTTTTTTTTTTTTTGGGGGGGGGGGGGATTGCATAGGAAATCTAAAACTCTCAGTTGTATTTATGTTGACTACTTGTTTGGTGGGGGGCATAAGTTTTCAATCATTTACTTGGAGAAGATGACAGATATCTTTATGAAGTCACTCGTCATATAATATCAGCATAAGATGATCGATTGGAGATAATTATTGCCTCAAAAGTTGATATTACAAAATTGAACGTATGATAGTCATTGTTGCACATTAAGAAAGGTTGTTGGCTCCAATGATATGTGGTAGTTATAGTGGTGGGGGTGGGAGGGGTGAAAGGGGTGGTACAGATGGTAAAGTTTAGGTGGTAGAAGAAACTGGGGGTAGTGGTAGTTGCTTTTTTTTAAGTATCCAGTTCAAGTCTGTACTTGAAGACTAGATGTTCACAGAAATGACTTAAGTGATGATGGAGATCTTCATGGCACATTCATGTCTAAGAATGAATAATGTGATCATCATAAGAATATCCCCCAGGTCTCAATCTAGATAATCATGATAGATATGATGATGAAATAGGCCTAATGGCCCCTATACATCACTGTAAGTCATTATAGACGGTATTCGTCTCCATAAATAGACATGTCTAGAAGACAGCATCCAAAGTCCCAGAGCTATACACAGGTAGAGGTAAGGGCATGAATGATGAATGATCGTCATCATAAGCTGTTTTCATATTCACAGCCAAAGAGGGTTGAATCCGGACTTGGTCCTGAGAGATAGCTACCAATTCAATCATGCTCCCTTTCATACCCATAGCAGCCATATGAAGTATGGGCATTTCGTTCCATGGTTACACTCAATCTTATGATTGATACTTCATTTACTGAGACCCAAAAGGGTGCCAACTCAACTTGAAACAGAGTTAAAGATAAAGTTGAGTTCTGGTCATGTGATTGCATTGTGAAAAAAACGGTGTGGAATCTATCAGAAAAGGTTGATCATCTAAGTATTTGTGTGTATTGCAAGGTTCTGGAATCATCAAAATTATAAGAAATTTTTCAAAATCTTGGCAAAGTTACAAGCACTGTACACAGAATGATGTATATGGGACTACACAAGCACATGGCAAAAAAAACCTACCCCCGAGTTTTTCGATGTTTCATGTCGTATTTAGAATATGAAGGCATTTGAAGAGCCATGCTTTTCAGGGAACATGTTTAATCTGATGTTCTTCTACCCTTGCATAATAATAATGATAACGCTCACAAATTATTTTTTACATCTTCCCAGAACTCAACCTTCTCTTTAACGCCCTTCTGGCTCTTAACAGATGATTTCCATGCTTTATTTCCTTGCCATTGTGAGGGGAAAAGATACAGCATATGACAAGAAGGTATCTTGATCCGATCCGCATCGAGTAGTGCACATACCCTACATCATTCATATAACAAAGCATCCATTTCCAGTCCAGAATCAATCATCCTCTCCAAGCAGGTTGAGAAATTCCATACTGAATGTGGATTGTGGATCAGTCTGATGCTAGCTGACACCAATTCATATTAGCTTATGAGTCTGGACTTAGTCCGGATTCAACCCTCTTCTACCTCTAATGTAAAAGAGGCTCAAGTCCTCCAGGTAAGACACAAATGATGGATGATCGTCGTCATAGAGGGCCAGACCAAGAATGTAAGGTGATAGTCATGTGCATAGCCAGCATTCTCTTGAGTACATTGCCGCTTTACAAACTCAATGGTCTCCATCAATTTCTGTCTTTAAATCTCATTGAACCTCATGACTGATGTCAATGAATAGATGACTGATGCATTCACCTTGACGATTTTAAGGTTGGTTAAAGGTAGGTCCATGGTTAAAGTAAGAGATCAATCTACAAATGACTGTGAAGCAATAGTGCTCTCAATATATCCCATTATGCATTATGATAATGAAAATCAAAAGTATTGGATTCCTTCATTACATTCAAATCTACTTCAAATAACTGAATAAGGAACTGATTTATGAATTCTACCTATTAATGACCTTAGCTGAGAGAAACAGTAAAATATTAAATGCATTGTGTAAGGAGTCTAAAGCTTAGCACTGGGCAAGGGTTTGAAATTCTCCACCAGTTCTTTGTGAGTTACTCTACCAACTCATAAACCATCCTGCAGATTTTTATTTTCTAAACAAACTTTTGATCATGGGGTACTAAACATCATTATAACTCTCATCATTATTTACTTGATTCTGAAGCTAATTTTGGAGAGACAAATGTAGATGTAATTCATGGAGTAGTAATGCAGTCCATCAAATCTTTAAGCACCATTTTCTAACCACTAAACCAGAAATTGAAAACCATTTGCAAATGGTTTTCAATTTCTTGTAGGCATTAAATCCTAATCCAACAAATTACCAATAAATGTAAATGTCATTGGCTGGAATTAAGAGTGTTGAAATATCATGATGAATAGCTCCCCCTAGAGGGTCGCTACTTCGCAGCCGCAATTAATGTCATTGCTACATCATCTAAAACTACTCAACATCAACCAGGGCTGGTGAACAAGGCTGTAATATCCACAGGTCAATGGCCTGCAAAGATGGCTTTACAGAGGAGATTCCTGGAGCACAAAACTTGAAAATAAAAAAGTTACTTCAAGAGAAGGCTGAAATGCTACCAAGAAGTCTTTGGACCAAGCTGTTTCTTGTGTCAATTCGAAAGAATATTACTGGTCAAAAGGTCTTTCCAAAGGCAAACAAACTATAATTTATCTTTGATAAACAAATGTTTTTAGTACACAATTCGTCGCTGTTTTCACGAAGTGACGGTAGTGAAAAAAAAATTGCATTCACTTTGCGTTACGATTTTCCTCACTACCGTCACTTCGTGAAAACAAGGACGAATTGATGTTGATGTGGTTTACTAATTTTTCAAAATTTACCCCCCTCCCCCCCCCCCCCCAAAAAAAAAAAAATTGGATACAAAAAAAAATTATATTATGGTTAGAATTAAGGTTATGAAAATGCTTTTACAGTGGAAATGTAGCATAATATGATGCATACATGTAAGTTCCCTTTTTCACTGCAAAAATTCACCAATTTTTCAGGGTTGCAATTTGACATGCTACAGTACTATATCTGTGTTTGTACTGCTATTATATTTATCTTGCCCTCACTTTTCTCTTCATGAACATTATTAACAGTGACTGGTATATAATAAAGCAGTATAGTTCCGGTGTTCTTACAGGCAGTATGGGAAAGAAATGAAAGAGAGACTTACTTCCTGATTTCATTGTAGGTATTATAATACTTTCTGTGTTCCTGCCACAGCTCACGTGAAAAGATGACACCTGTTGATAGAAAAGTAAAGAATTGAAAGATTATTCAAAAGAATTCAAAAATACAAATGAAGCGAGACGTTAAAAAAAGTCATGGAAAAACAGCACCTCACCCCCCCCCCCCCCCCCCCCCCCCCCCCCCTAATTTTAAACCGGATTTATATTGATCTAAATCAGGAAATTATCAGGCATGGATTATTCTTATTTGTGGAAAACATACATGATTTGCCAATATTTGCTTAGATAATGATAGTACTTTGTTTTGAAGAAGGCATATCACTATTAATAGCCAGTAACAATGACTCTATGCAATGTCAAAAGCATGAGTAGATTTATATTTTGCTTTTATCAATGCTTTATGATTAGAGAAATCCTCAATTTTTAATGAAATTCTATCTTTAATTCCAACTAAATACTTCATAGAGAGTTCATGCATGTACAGAAGCAAATTTAAAGATAACAAAATAGGGATATAGTTTATTAAAAACAATTAAGATTAAAAAATATTCTAAAAAGAACTAATAACTTGTTCTCACCTATAGGTTTGTGCCTCGTATTCCAGCTAGTGACTAACTCCTCTAACTGTGGGGCAAGAAAAAAAGGGAAGAAAGTAGAGAGAAAATGTCAATAATGATTAGGTACAATTAACCCTGATAATCTCCATGAGAAATGTACAATATAAAAATACATTTTATTATGATTCACAACTCACAACTAATCAGTGTCTGGTTTTTTCCCTAAACATTCAGTTCCACATATTAACTTCATATGCACAAAATTTACGGGTAAATGACTTTTGTAAGGATGTATTCCAGACTCGCAAATCTAATTCAAGCAGAAAAATAATATAGTATTAATGACTGCTTTGAGAGAAATAGTTGTTTTATTACGCTCAAGGGAAGGTTAGAATTGTGCTATTCCCCGAGGCTTGCCGAGGGGAATAGCCCAATTGTAACCTTCCCGAGAGCGTATGAAAACAACTATTTCTCGAATATTAAAGCAGTCATTAATACTTTTATATGCCGAAAAAAAATAGACTAAAAAATAAAAAATAAAAAATACTTTTTTTTTGGTCTAAGATGAGATTCGAACTCTTGCGTACAGAAGGTGTTGTATCTTCAGTCAGCGCCTCAGACCTCTCGGCCATCGCGCGCTATCAAAATGCTTGGCAGTTTTGTACTATATATACATTAAAATGGATTGAAACCGGCTTCGCGTGTGATGAATGCTTCGCAAAAGCTCCATATACGGACTCTTCTTTTACTTTTGCAATGCATATTGGCACGAACTTAGATCAAGATCTATCGGCAGATGTTGTTTTTTTGTTTTTGAGAGTTAATTTTCGTCTTCATGTCAACAATGCAAGATAAAATTGTCGGTAAGATCGATCGAGATTCAATTGTATTGAAATTGCCGACCAATTTTTCGCACACGTATGGTATCCTCCATCGCTCAAACCATTTTTTAACATGTAAACCTATGGGGTAACCATGGAGACTGACCTATTTTTTTAATAACCATGGTTATTAAAAATATTGAAATGTTTTATGCATGGTTACCGGGAATTTTACAGGAACAGTTGAAGTTTATGAATGCAATTCGACCAATCAGATGGCTGGATTTCTTAAGTGAGGTATATAATTTCAAATATTACTCAACAGTGTAGTATTTCTTGAAAAGCTGCATTTCAGGCTACCATTTGGTAGCCTGGACTGCCTTCTTTTCAACCCTAAATCATTGATTTATGCTGCTATTTCAAGACTACATACTCCTTTTTTTCTACATTTTTTCATCTATTAATTTATGTGAACTTGGAGAAAAATGAATGGAGTTATACACAGGCATTTGACTCTTATGAAGTAAACAAAAAAATTGTGGATATTTGTAAGAAATTCCCCAAGGTTACGCTTCTTGAGTATGGTAACCTAAGCATGCCTACATTTGAAAGCTGTCATCATGTACATTATTAGATGTAATGTGAAGCTTCGTGGAATGCATTTTAGGTATTCCTGCAGTTCAACTCAACTGGCCCATTTTACAAATGTTTACTCTTTCAAATCCCTACATCTGTAAGTGGTTGACTTTTGTGCTGGCAGCTTTACAGGTTCCTCTCTTCTTTCCTTTCTTTCTACTGTTTCTTTTCTTTCTGTTCTTCTCATAATTGTCTTCTCATAAATGTCATTCATATGTTCCTTTCTTTCTCTCATTCCTTTTCTTTTCTGTTCTTCTCAAGTTCTCATAGTTGTCGTTCATTGGTTCTTTATTTTTCAATCTATAGCACTCCATTCCATCCATACACACCGTCAAAACAAGAAAATGGAAGCCTACATGAAAACAGACTAAGGAAACAATCACGATTCTCCTCCCCTTTTCCAGATTTTTGTTGAACATCTCTGGTCTTTCAAACCAGAAGTTTAAGAACCAAGTCAGATACCTGTGACTATTGGGGAGCTAACTTTTAACTTACATTATTGTTCAAACATTCAAGCACATATATGTACTATATATGTTTCTATGTTTAGAGTATTTCCCTCGTATATCCCTGCAGCTGTAACAAAGCCGAGAACATGACCTGATCATGAACCGACTTTGGAAGGAATCACATCAGGATAAACTTCAAAATCATGCAGCTGCCCAGCTGAAGTACATGAACATGCAACATACGGCACACAAGAGAAATCCAATTCCTCAACAAAAAAATAAGCACATTTGCCAGAGATCAAATTTTAGTATCCTGTAAGATAACACTTCATATAACAGGTGTACAACCTTTCTGCAATCAGTTACTGACATTTCACTTGTTTGGCGCCAGAAGGTCAATAACTAATGTACCTCAACAATGAGGGAATGCCCTTTTGGACTAAAAGACAAGACAACCCATTTATCATTTTCCCCAAAACATTTTCCTGATGTTATCTAGGTTTTATTTTGATCATCTTCTTCCTGTTGATGTCTGAATATTCTGTATTGATATGACAGAGATAACAACAAAATATGAAATTTCTATTTGAATTAACTTTCAGGAAGTGAATATCCACCCCCCCCCCCTCCCATCTATGAATAAAGCTTACAGCCCTTCTCAACATCTCTGCTAGTATAGAAGTATAGAAACAACGATTGATGACTGATGATAATATACCTCTAAAATCTAAATCAATGATTACATTTTATAGTGGTATCCATTTACTGGTATTACAAAAAGAAAATTATTCATTTGTTTTATTCATAAAGTTCATTCATAAAATTGAAACAGTAACTACATGTACAGTACAATTTGTTTCATATTTGACCTCTGCTCTCTCTCTCTCTCTCTCTCTCTCTCTCTTACTCTCTCTCTCTGTGTCTCTCTCTCTGTCTGTCTCTCTCTCTCTCTCTCTCTGTCTCTCTCTCTCTCTCTCTCTCTCTCTGCGTGATCTATATTTCTTAACGCCCATGTATTATTTCTGCTTCATCTGGTACTTTGGCTAAGCTTTATTACACTTCATTTGCAATCTGTGCCTATTACGACACCCAATGGGCTGGTTCGTTCCTCCTGACCAATCAAAGATCCATAAATCAATAGGTCAAGGGTCATCAGGGTATATGGGACCAATCAGGCAATCAGGTGAGTGAACTATAATGACCATTGGGTGAACTTCGCTCTACCGGTGACCTGGTTCAGTCTGTTGAGAGCCATAAGGGCGTTAACTATTAAATATACTTAGAGACAGTTAACGCCATTCTGGGTCTGAACGATCGATTTGGATGGTGTGGGTCCATGTAGTTTGCAAGCCTGCACAAACCCTTGTCAGTCGTTATGCTTAACAGTGTCTGCAATATGAGACTACACTGGTCTCTGTGCATTAGCTACTCCTGGTACAGCTAAAAACGGCCAGATCTAAGCTCTGTTCAAGGCTTTAGGAATTTTTATAAGGTGGAAAATTAGAGTTGTGCTTAGAGACTAGGATCCATGATGGTATTGGTATCAGTTTTACATGAATCAATGAGAGAAGGACAAAACGATTAAGGAAGGGGTGAGGTGACAAGTAAATTAATTGATTATTAAGTGAAGTGTGAATGACTTTTATTTTGGGTTTCACTGCTTTGATGATTAGTATGTTAATCGATGTATAGATAAACTTTCAAGGCCTGTGTAATTATAAAGGTAAAGTGTTGTGTTTGCAGTTAGGAATAGAAAAAAATGCTCAGAAAATAAGACAGACTATTCAGAAAAAGGAAAGGAACAGGACAACAAATCATTAACATTGAAGATTAAGATGATGACAATAATTATTGTGATGTAGATGACCATTCTAATTTGAATTTCCAGCTTAAGTGGTTTGCTTGTTGCTGTATGTGTGTAAAAGGCTAAAAGCCCTTTAAGTTATATTACTGTCAATCTGTAATGGTGCCTGCGGAAGACTGGAGGAGGGGTGGGGTGAAGAAACATGGCCAGGGACAGGTGGTAGTGGTGGTAATGATGGTAGTGATGCTGGTGGTGGTGGTGGTGGTGGTGGTGGTGGTGGTGGTGGTGGTAGTGGTGGTGGTAGTGGTGGTGGTGGTAGTGGTGGTGGTGGTAGTAGTGTTGCAGGTGGAGAAGAAGATGGTGAAAGAGGTACATGTAGTTGAGGGGAAAGAAATCCTTCACCTGAATTCTTTCTGTCAAATCAAAATAGCTCAATCAACAAAGAAACAAAAAAATCCACAGAAGATCTTACAAAACACTTTCTTTTAAGCCAACCAAGTCAGGTGGGTTTAACCCAGTCTCCTTGAACTCTAGATACCCAGGAGCACGTCCTGCCCATGGCACTGATTTAGGAGTGATTTAAAGGTTACTTTCTAAGACCTCCCAATGCACTTTATTGGCCAAAGACAACTACCAAGTTCATATCTTTCAGATGGGAGGTCGTCTGGTCTATGACGTCAAAAGATGGCCTTTGTTACACCTTTGGGGTATCAAGTCTAATTCCTTGTTTTGCTTTGTTTTAAGGCGTTTTGTAACCTTTACAGGGATTCAAAGTAGCTGCTTGGAACCCTGAAAATATGTAATCTCCTTTCATAAAGCCTCTCCGAATCATCCAGAATGTGCCTACGGTAATCCAACAAACTTTTTTAAATACTATTATTGCACAAAATTCAAGAAATCTTGTCATTTCTTAACTCCTGATGCTGTTTCTTTAGTTTAGATATTTTTGTAAAATAAAAAAAGTATGCTGTGGAATGGAGGTCAACTTAGCTTTTGGTATCATCTGTTCTGAGACAGAAGGGCATTACTTTAACACAGAATCAACGCCCTTCTGTCCCTTAACATACAATACACCGGTTTTTGCCTGAAATTCATGAAAATCAGAACCTAACTTCTTTTATGCATTTATTCATTCCAAGAGATTCTCAAGACACTTCTTTGTATAAAGAAGGCATACACAATCAAAATTATTTTTTGACTGGTGCTGAGAAGCATGATTTTCAAATAATTTAGCCATTAGATTTGGGATTTTTCATCCAATATTTTTTTCCATTTTCATTATCATTTTCATTTTCTTTTTTTTTTTTCTTTTTTTTTTTTGGGGGGGGGGGGGGTAGGAAAAGTGACCTACAATTTA